TAACTCTTTGAAATATTCCTGAGTTTCATTCACAGTTCCCTGTGATGGTGCCTGCTTTATCAGTGTTGAGTTACAGATTGCTACTGTGTTCTGCCAATATAATCATTACTTTGCTGAAGGCTTTGAAAAGCATTTAAGGTATTTGGAGCTCAGCTCCAGTTGAAAGGCTACAGGATTTCTTCTGTCCTGTTTTGACTGGACCTATTTGTGATTTTGAGAAGTTTATCTGCTGTAGAACTGCCTTGCTTTTTAACAGTGTGTGCTGTTTGAAATGATAGAAATTATTTTAGTGAGAGAAATTTGCACTGACTTAACACTCCAGATCTCTCGCAGAAACTCTTGAGATGTTTCCCTTTGAGCCTGGATTTGGGAAACCGGGAGAATTTACTTCTGATCCTCGCTGTCAGTTCTTATACTACAGCTGTCTCACTCATGTTGAGCCGTGAAAGCATTCTAAGATTTGCGTGCGATGCTGGTATGAAATTTCCAGTTGTAACTTTGGTGGGCCAAGGGAGAGGATTGCAGCTGACCTCATGAAGAACATGTAGCTGTCTAAGTATAACCCAAATGATAGTGAGGAAACAGTATTTCTTTTCATTTTGAAACCTTGACTCTTGTCTATTTACAATAAAGAAAAGTCATTAGCATTCAGACCGTGATTACACGTTTGTCAGCAGCCCCATCTAAGCTGCCTTAAGCAATCTCTGTCCATGTTATTCTTGTTTCCAGCTGCGTGCCGCAGTGTGTCTGTCAGCTCGCACATTTGTGCAGTGGCACACTGAACTGAGAATTGAGCTGATGTTTGTAGTGGCATGGGTAGGGGAAGGAACCTAGGTGGGTACAGGTAACCATAGCACAAGAGCTAGAGGTGGAGACTGCATAAGCTGGTATAGCTGCCAAAATTGGCTCGTCAAACTAGCTTTACATTGTGGATGTCTAAATCTGTGATACAATATTAAACATTTTAGCATGCTGCAGTCAACTGTCGTGTCCTGTTTCTGTCAAATTCCTTTGGGTTGTAGAACTCACTGATGTAAGAACAGCAATAGTGATAGAGAGAGACCTAATTGGCATCCCACCAGCAATATGCTTTGGGAATTCCTGCTTCAAATTAAACGTAAACTGCTATCAACTCTTCACTAGTCCAGCTGGGAATGTGAAAGGAAAAACTCATTAGATATGCTCAAATTTGCTGTCATCAAGGGTTCTGAAGTGCCTTTTCAACAACAGAAATTTGCAAATAAGTTTTGTTTCTTGGGTAAAGTGAACAGTCTTCTGTTAACCATTAATTCACAACATCAGAAAACAGATTTGTGTGGGTTCTGACCATGACGGAAAGGCTTTTATGCATCATACTGTTGAGTTTAACTGGAATTTATATTGGAACACAGCACTCACTGGTAATATGTTTTATGAGTTGATGAGGAGAAGAAAAGAACATATCGGGCAAGCTGCTGTGTATCTACTAAGAGAAGGAAACTTAGTGCTTTTGGAAGTATTAACAGTCGTTTAAGCAGCATATAGCAGAAACTAGTTTAATTAAAACTGAAACCTAACAAAACTGAAGAAGCTTCTCTCAAAAATGATTGTCTAATTTTGATTTCTGTTTCTGGGTATAATCCATCTTGGAAGGAGTAGGTGAGATGTCTCAGTTTTGCAACCTGCCCTGTTAAAATTATCTCAGCTATTTCCTTAAAGTTGTTCTTGGTTCCCTAGGAATCTTAGGTGTTTTTTTCTGAGTGACTGTGTAAACTTTCAGATAGGTGGACTCTTTTTTAGTGGTGTAATTAGTTGCTGATAAAGTGCTTTGTAAGAAGACAACTTGGAAACACTCATTTATTTAATTTTTTTAGTTAACTTTCATATACTGAGATTTGGCACTGTCTTCTAAGTTCCCTTCTGAAATTTATTTTGCATAGCTAATACTATGAGTGTTTTGCACAACTGATGTTATGAATATTAACCAAAGTAAATCTAACAAGTAATTAAAATCCCTGAGTAAGATTGATTTTTTTTTTTCTTTTCTTTTTTGAGGATGTGTTTCAATGTGAAATGGAAAGCTTCTGGATTAGGATTCCTATTTAATGACTATAGGTTTAAATTTCTGTTAGAGACTGTCATAGGAAAGTGTGGACAGAAAATAGCCTCCTGCATCCGTTCTTAATAAAACATCTCACTGTGGTAATTTTGGAATATGCTCAGAAGAGCTGTGCCAGGAGAGGGAAACTTTAAATTGCTGACTTCTTGTTACTTCCTACCTTCCCTTCATAGACTTGCACTTTCAAAGGCTTTGCCCGGAAATGGGGTGTGTTTGAGAAGCCTGAGTAGAAAGAAGGATTCCTTGGTGATTATATGTGCACAGCAGAGAGCATTTTGGAAATAATTTTACCATATGTGTACATATTCATACAGAGGCAGAAAAAACTTAATCTGGAAATCTGATACAGGTGTAGCTCATGTTCATTTTAACAGCAACCTTTAGATTTTTCTGTGTATGATCCTATAAAAAATGGCAAAAATGAAAACACTATGAGCTTCATTTAATGTGGCATGGTAAGCAAATGAGGGGGAATGAAGCAAATCACCAGCTCAGATGGCTTCTAAGGCATTTTGTACTGTTTTGTGAAAGAAAATGCCTAGTAAACCAGTTCCATCACTTGCAAACTTGAGAGAAAGTTTGCTGTGAAAGAAGTGGCTGTCGTTCAGTGAGTGACACTCTGAGAGACTAAGCTGCCAGCCTTTTCCCAGCTCTATAAGAGATGGGCTCATAGCAGATGCCCGTGGAAATTCTTGGGAATGAGACATCGAAAATCTAATGCTGAGCTCTAGCATCTGGTAAATCCTTCTGGTCTATGTGGTACTGGGAATAACTGAATCTGTGAGCCCAGAGATAGAGGTTAGCGTCCTGCTTTTCCTTTTGAAAAATAGATTGGCAAAGCACCTATGCAAGTCAAGCATGTGTGGCATATGCGAAATGCCATTTTGATGGGTTTCACCATCCTGCCATTAAGAGCATCTAAATTTTGGTTGGCCTTTTCTAACCATGGTGAATCCTAGTTACATCCTTAGAACCATCCACCGTTTGATTCCTGATCACTCGTATTTTGAAGGTGAATGATAAAATCCTTGAACTGTGCTAGTCTAGTGATGTGAACAATTCTCGGGTGATACACTGACACAGGAGCTGACAATTAGCTCTGTAAGCAGGGACAGTGTTAGGGATCTAAGGGCAATCAGGTATCTTGGAAGGTTGAGCTGAATGAAGCTGTCTTTTCTGTGAGAGGCACTGAAGGCCTGTTTTAAGAAGTCAGTGACCAACACTTTTTGTAGTTTTATTCAGCTGGCAGGTTGTGCACTAAAAATACAGAGATTACAGCAAGATAGATGCATCTCCCACATAGCTTTAGCAGTTTTGGCAGCATGATTTTTCCTCTGCTGAAAGGGCATGTGCAGTTCTAGTGCATCTCTTAAAACATGTAATCAATATTTATATCCCAAATTACTGATTTTTTTCAATGAGATCTGTGTGGCTGATCCTTCCCATGCCACTGCTGGGCCCCATTTATTTCGATCAGATTCTGTGGGGGGCTAAATTTATTTTTTGCATGGAATTGATATCTTGATAAAGGGGTTTGGAAGCTCAAGTTCAAAAGTTTTGCTTTATCCTCACAAGAAATTCAGAAGTTTTTGGACAGAAAACCCAGGTAGCACCCTTGAGTCTTTAAAAAGATAAGCTAAGTTTAAAACAAAAAAAAAAACCCTCATAAAATTTAGCATTCAGTTTGAACATTGACATCATAGTCAATGATTAGAAAGAAACTGGATACCTACATCGGCAAATATGGCTACCTCATCTTTTTTTGGAACGTCATTAAATTTAATTTGAGCTACATAAAGCTTTTAATTGGTTTAAGAGTGTTCTCTTTGATTACTGTAGTTCAGTAGTAGTCTGGCAATTCAGTTGATGACAAGATTAAGCAGTGCTTTACATTTGACGTAATGAATTTACATAAAGTTCTTCATATGAACACATTGATTGTGGAGAGATGAGAGATACTTTTAAATATTTTTTTTTCCTGCCAGCAGGTTTTAGTCTGACTATTTATAGCGAGTCTGTTCTGCGTTACGAAAATGTCAAGTCAGCGCTCTAAACTAGTTGTAAACGCACATGTTTATGTGAAAGGCAGAAGCACTGACGGTTTCATTTGCTAGTTAGCTGCACCACAGCAGAGGACTGTCTGAGAAGTGCTATGGAGTTGCAGGACAAGCCGAGGCCGTCTGTGGTAT